TCTGAGGAAGGGTCACCGGACCCGAAACGTTAACTCTGTTTTCTCCTCCACAGAGGCTGCCAGACCTGCCGAGCTTTTCCAGTAACTTTGTTTTTGTTCCTGATTTACAGCATCTGCAGTTCTTTTGGTTTTTACTACATACAATATTGATTCTGTAGGGGAGGCAGTAGCTTAATAGCAATATCACTGAACCCAGGACATGAGAGTCTGAGGACGTGTTTGAATCCCACCACGGCAGATGGGTGGATGCCTGGGTGGGATGCTGTTCAGTGGGTCGGTGCAGACTCGTGTGCCTACATCCCACAACAATTAGAGATGTGTAATAAATGCTGTGCCCAGCCAGTGATGCTCACATCCATGTTTTTATTATAAAAACTACTGGACATAAACTACTACATAGGAAGCATTAATTAGCTAACTTTCATGCTATTCCCATCGCACCTTGCTATAATGATTGGAGGTATAATAAATTCAGACACACTGTATTTCACTAATCTACCCAACAAAGCTTGAAAGAATTTACAGTCAAAATTTCTGAAAGACTAATGTTATACAATAAGTTTAGGTTTGTAATTGTTCTCTTACCACAGTGAAATCATGGGAAATAGGAATAAGGCATTGAGTTCCAAAGCAGAAACAATAATTCAAATTATGCCAAATTAGTTTGAATAAAATCAGGAGATCCTTTTAAACAATTGTTGGCAACATCTCTTATTTGAAGAATATTGATGATGCGATCCAAAGGTACAGGTTCTTAGCTTAAATAAATGAGTCCACCGTTCAGTAATTCAAGACTTGCCTTGAAACAAGGCTGTGATGAGGTGATATATATGGGATCCTGCTCAAAATTGTGGTTAGCACAGCATATTTTTTAGACAGTGGAACTCTCATTGGCAGTAACCCAGTAATAATAGTTATAATAACAGATTTCTCTTTTATAGTGCTGTACTGAATTTATTTCTATAATTTGAACATTTTGCTGCATTCTGCTGTACTTGGCAATCTGAAAACCCTGGCTATTTCATGGAAATACATTTATTGAAGTGCAGTTAATCATTAATTCATATTATTGCCAAAGCCATTTCAGATTGCTACACACTATAGTTACGGTTCTTTTTGGCACATCGAGAAATTATCTGTTTAGAATAACCCAACAATAACTTGTATTTATGTGGGATGTATAAAGGTCATAACTGTCACCAAATTTAGCAAAAGAGAAGCGAAGTAATGTTGAGGATGGCTAAGACATGAGGGTTTAAGGCTCAGTTTGGCCTCAGATAGACTCCAGGCATTGTGCTGTGCTCTTCAAAGAGGTGACCAGATAAAGAATGAATTTTGTGGTTTGGGTATGCAATTTTGTTTGGTGAGAGCAAAGTGGCTGTGATGGTTAGATAGAGGCGGAAATATTGGCCAGGACACTAGGACTTAGTTAGAAAGTTATTTATTTGTCTCTGGAATTTGGATTTGAAACCAACTTGAATTAAAGAGAACTCGTAATTTATGTGCTTTTCATTTTTCAAATACAGGTGAAATTGTATCAGAGAGCTAGATATAAACATTCAACTCGATTGTGTTAAGCAATATTTAGTGGGTGTCTCCAGTATTAGCTTGCAGTTTCTAAAACTAAAGGCTGAAATTTCGCTCAAATTGGTTGTGCAGAATCAGGAAAATTACTGACATCTCAAACCTGACCCACCAGAAACTTCAGCCTCAGTTGTAATTAAAAAGAATAGACAAAGATCAGTGCTTAGGTTCTTGTCCTTCTCACTTCCAGCATACTATCTAGAACCCATAGATGCCAATGCATGCACCTCATGCCTCCATCATCATCCCTCATATATTCCCTGCCAACTTATTCCCATGTACCCAAAATCTACTCCTAAATACTTGCAAGTACTTAATTCTTTCAAACAGTCAATTGCTTATAAAATTAAACATTTTGTATTCATAACCCTATATCACAAATAACTGATCCATTTATAATAACTTGGAACAGTTAATCAAACTGTGAACTTGCAGGGCTCTAATGATAATGATGGGAAACTAATCGATAACAATAGCACTAAGGCATCTGTAGAAATTGCAAGAGCCAATTCTTTTTCAGCTGAGATTTGCAGCAATCTGCATGTTTTTCAGATTTCAAAAGGTGGGGAATTCAAATGACTTCGTAGCTTGAAAGTTCCACCTGTTATGCACATTCATGTCTATTGTTAACAATACCAAAAGGATCAATGGCAGTAAATGTGAGGTGTTGCATTTTGGTAGGGCAAACCAGGGCAGGATTTATACAGTTAATGGAAGGGCCCTGTGGAGCGTTGCCGAACAAAGAGACCCGGCGGAACAGGTGCATAGTTCCTTGTAAGTGGAGTTGCAGGTAGATAGGGTGGTGAAGAAGGCATTTGGCATGCTTGCCTTCATTGGTCAGTGCATTGAGTATAAGAATTGGGATGTCATTTTGTACCTGTGTAGGATTTTGGTGACGGCACTTCTGGAATAATGCATACAATTCTGGTCACCCTTCCACAGGAAAGATGTTGTTAGGGTGCAGAAAAGATTTAAAAGGATGTTGCGAGGACTGGAGGGTTTGAGTTATAGGGAGAGGCTGAGTAGGCTGGGGCTTTTTTTCCCCGCAATGTCGGAGGCTGAGAGGTGACCCTGTACAGGTTTATAAAATCATGAGGGAGCATAGATAGGGTGAATAGCCAAGGTCTTTTTCCTAGGGTGAGAGTCCAAAACAAGAGGGCATAGGTTTAAGGTGAGAGGGGGGAAGATTTAAAAGGGACCCAATGGGCAGCTTTTTCACACAGAAGATGGTGCATGTATGGAACAAACTGCCGAAGGAGATAGAGGAGGCAGGTACAATTATAACATTTTAAAAGACATCAGGATGGGTTTAGAGGGATATGGGCCAAATGCTGGCAAGTGGGACTAGGTCAGATTGGGATGTCTACTTAATGTGAATGAGTTGGACCAAAGGGTCCATTTCCATCTTCTGACTCAATGGCTATGACACTTGACCTGAATAAAGAATTCCAGTTGGGTTAATTTTTTTTTTAATTTGTAAAGCCCATGGGTCAAGTTTCAGAAACATAGGTGACAAAATTGCTTCTGATTCTAGATAGCTGCACTTTTGGATGTGCTGCTACCTCTAAACCATGGATGTGTGAAATACGTTGTAGCCCCCAACTCTTCCCCTCCCCCACCAGTGAAAATAGTGAATGCGAGTTTGGGTCTGGATTTTGCGAACCGTTTTGGCCAAGGCATAGAACATGCCCCCTTTGCAAAACATTTTGGTCTAACTTTCTATTCAAATGTTCTGTTCGTATTTAGGGGTAGATGTGTATGTGGATTTCAAAAGTAAAAGAGATAAGCCATGAACATATTGAATGGCAGTATAGGCTGAATGTTGACTTCAGCTCCAATTTTGCATGTTTATATGAATGTTACTTGGAGGAGTTTAAAGTTTACATAAAAATAATCTGGATGTCTTTGATTTTAAATTGTAATTTAAAAAATTCCTAATGGTATTAAATAATTAGGAAAAGTCAACATTATTTATGTTTATGCATTTAAGTTGTTCATTGGGCTTTCCAAATGTTTGAAGTGAAAGTTGTAGTCTGATAAATCATTTAATAAAGTCGTATCCAATGTATGCATGGTTACATGATGCATGCTATAATATTTGCAGCCTTGCTTTGTACGATAGTGTAATTATTTTTTTCCTGTCCATTCACAGACTGGTGAATTTTCTGCCCGTTTCCTTTTGAAGCTCCCAGTGGATTTCAGCAACATACCAACATACCTTCTCAAGGTAAAGTTCCTCCACGTTGTTTATGACAAAATCAAGTTATGTTTAAAACTGATGCGACCATATGCTTTAGTTTTACATTTGATCAGTTCAAGCATCATTAGATAATTAAATAAAGTTGTTTTTTTTTCCAAGAAAATTTATTTTGGATAGATAATTGTTGAGTCTGGTACTGATTATTCATTGGTGTCCCACGTTTGTAGTAAAAGTTAACTGATTTGGTTGGGGATACGGAAAATCAAAGTGGAAAGAAAGTAAAGCCAATGAAGACAACAAAGAGGAAAGTGAAAGTAATAAAGAACAGATCAGAATATGAACAAAACATAAAAGAAGTAATATTGCTGAAATTAAAACTGATGAAGGTTGTGTGGTATGTAGATGGATGGATAAACAAAATCTTTCCAAATAAATGGGAAAATTAGAAGTAATAACTCTAGAGTCGTATGGTACAATAACAGTAGTGGGTTCCACCACAGCAGTGACATGTGGTAATATCTAAATATTGCATTCAGGACATCTGTATGGGAAAATATACAAAAGTGAGTATGTGTGGAGATGAAATAGGCAAGATTTGCTTATAGTTCAGAAAATTTTTAAAAAGAAACAGTAATTCCAACTGTTGCAAAGTAGAAGTTTTTAAAAGCCTGCTAATGTCTTTGACTACCTGCATTACCTTTCTAACAAACATATTGAATTTTGCTTGTCAAGAAGGAAAGAAGCAGAGCTGGGTTTAGTTTGTGAATATGAATTAGAAAGGATGGGTGATGTGGGAAAGAAAACAATTGGGAAAAATCAAACCATGGCTTAGTTGGGTTTAAAATCCCCGACTTTTTATTTAAAAAATGGAGGATAATGAAAAGTCAAAGTTCGAGGTACTGCTCTGGAAAAGGGTAGAGTTTGGATGGCTAAGTACATCTGACCTAACATAACTGGGCAAAACATTGATGCAAATGAATTAACAGTGGAAAATATTCAAATGTTCAAAGCAGAGTACCAATTTAATACATGACTAAAGATGAAAAATGTATCATGTGAACAGATGTTTATGATCGTGGCAGGAGATTGAAACTAAACTGAAAATTAAATGTCAGATAAATATTATGCAGAAGAAAATTGTGAGGAATGTAGGAAATGTAGCAAGGTGAAAATGGAGTTTTGGAGGGAGTGTAAGAGACTGATATGAAATCGGAAATTATAAGCCCTTTTAGAAGTAGAATAAACAGCAAAAAGAAGTTAAACAATGGTAGGCTGAGGGATGAGGATTCAGAATTTGGAAGATGAACGTTCAAAAACGCAATCAAAATTTAGCAGAATTAAATAGACAAGTCTCCAATCCTGATGTGCATGCCAGGCCTTTGAAGATAATCAGAGAGGAAGTAACAGTGAACTTGATCCACAATTTTTCAATGCTCACTTGAAATTCAAATTGTGAGAAGTGACTAGACGATGAAGGATAAAACAAAACAGCTTTAACAAAAAGGATAGAAGGGAATGCAGCATAGATTCACAACAATGATCCCAGTGATCAGAAACTTTTTACTGAAAGCAACATATTAGTGGGAACATTTCCCAATATTATCTGTATAATTTTACAGTTTTATTTATGAAGCATTTTGTTATATTGAACAGAGAAGAAATGTTTCTCCTGGTTAGGAAGTTGATGACAAGTAATCATCAGTTTAATGTTGACACTATAGGGAGACTCTTCTTCACACCAAGTTGTTCAGGATAGAAAGCAAATAGTTGATGATGGATAACATTTGAAGTCAATGAAGATACAGACAAAGGGTAGAGAGCTGGATTATGGAATAGTTTAGAATTGTACCAGCAAAGATTTGGCACTGACGCAATGGGCCATGGAGTTTATTTCTGTGCTTTAGGTCTCTATGGTTCAAAAATACATAGAAATATCAGCTATTGGTTTGAAAATTGTACAGAAGTGTTAAATAATCATCATTTTAACTAAAAGGCTATCAAGATTTTTGCTTGCTACTGCAGAAAGCCTTTGCAAGACTCTCAATTTATTCGAGATTTCTAGTTTCATTTTTTTCCGTTTGTCTGGCATGTCCGTACTTTAAGGTTTTACAGTGAAAACATGCATTTCCTGTATGTTATTTCACATTAGGGCTAAGGGGCTGTCTGTTCCAAACGAAGACGACCAAAGTATTAATAGATTGCCAATTTCATAGCACTCATCCACTGCCTATCAAGCAGCTCTGGAGCCAACTTGCATCTGACATTTTCGCCTACGTGTTACAATTGGTCTACTGCTGCTGCATCCTTATGCCCAAAGCCAGAAACCCTGAACTGTATTGTTTTCTTTTAGTTCTTTGGTATTTAGAGTTATGGAGTTTTACAGCACAGAAGGACGGCTTTCAGCCCATCGTGTCTTTGCCAGTCTTCAAGCATCAATATCCTGGTTTCCACCACTTGGCCCTTAGCCTTGAATGCTAAGTCAATTCAAGTTTTCATCTAAATATTTCTAAAATGTTGCGAAGGTTCCTGCCTCTACCACCCTTTTAGGCAGTGAACTCCAAACACCCTCTGGGTGAAAGAATGTTTCCTCACGTCGCCTCTAAATCTCCTGCCCCTTCCCTTAAATCTAAGCCCTTGGTTGTTGACCCATCAATTAAATGTAAAATCTTCTTCCTACCTCCCTGTTCAATGCCTCTCAGAATTTTGTACATTGCAGTTAACCTTCTCTGCTAGGAGGAAAACAACCCCAATCTACCAATTTTTTCTTCATAGCTGAAATGCTGCAGCCAGGAAACATCCTGTTGCATCTCCTCTGCGCCCTCACCAGAGCAATCATATCCTGACTGTTAGATAATAACATTTGCTGTATAAGACAAGATTTTGTTTACTTTTCATTAGTTTATGCACAGATGTTTGTATGCCTTGAAATGTTGTTTTATGAGAAGAGGGGAACCTGTTAATATCACGAGGTCATTAGGGTAAATTGATTAATTGACACGATTGATATAAAAAGTGGGTCTGAAGTGTAGAAGGAGTGGTAAGACTGTAGGTAAGAGGTCTTATGAAGCAGTGGTAGTGTCCTTACCTCTGGACCAGGAGGCCTAGGTTCAAATCCTGCTTGCCCCAGAGTTGTGTAATGACCACTCTGGACAGGTTGAATAGAAAATATATTAGATTGGTATTAATAATTTCTTCCCCAATATAAGATGTCTTTGATTCTTTCTCAGTGAATCCAATTTGACACTAATGTCTGTATTTTAATTCCAGAGTAGGATACAAGTAGCTAGATTACCTGGCTCTGCAAAACTGACTTGTGAGAACCTGTCTTGAACCACTGGAGTTTCATTCCAAGGAAGGTGCTGACCATTAATAGAAACACTATGGTGATAGCTGCAGGAACTGCTGGCTGCCAAAGGGGACTGATTAGGCCCACCTCAATGTTCAGAGTTGTAATAAAAAGAGTAAAGCAAAACAGTCCTCTAGCTCTCTTTCCCTCTCACACTCCCCATTCATGCCAACAATTACTACCTCATGGCCCCTCATACCCTCCCTGCCAACTTGTGTCAGAACAACAACTCTTCCTACATTGCTGCAAATTCCCAAGTCCTCATACTGTCTCTGTGCTCAGTCATGAGCAATTCTCCTTGTGAAGACTTAGTAAGACCAGCTTTCTTTATAAAAACTGAAAGAAGTGTGATGCTGTAAATCAGGAACAAAAAAATCAGAGTTAACATTTCGGGTCCGGTGACCCTTCCTCCGAACTGATGGCAGCTGGGAAAACGTCAGTTTATGTGCAGAAAATAGAACTGAGGAAGGGTCACCGGACCCGAAACATTAACTCTGATTTTTTTCTTCACAGATGCTGCCAGACCTGCTGAGCTTTTCCAGCAACTTCTGTTTTTGTTCCAGCTCTGTTTATGCTAGCTGAAATTCTAAAGAAATGCCAGCACTACTGGCTAGAGAAACCAGTTGGCTGTTTCTTTATATCCAAGACTTGAAAAAAGTTAACTTTTAACAGTAAATTATAATTTGATGCTAAACACTTCCATCTAGAAGGACAACGGCAGCAGACAAATGGGAGCACCACCACCTCCAAGTTCCTCTCCAAACCACTCACCATCCTGACTTGGAAATATATCGCCGTTCCTTTACTATCTCTGTGTCAAAATCCTGGAGTTCCCTTCCTAATGGGTCAACCTACAGCAGGAGGGCTGCAGCTGTTCAAGAAGGCAGCTCACCACCATGTTTTCAAGGGCAACTAGGGATGGACAATAAATCCTGGCCAGCCAGCGATGCCCATATCCCACAAACTAGACTAAATTCACCCCGTCAGCCTGTGTATGGCTGCACTCCGTAATGTTTTGCTCTCTTTGCTTGCCGATCTATTTTATTTATTGGAATTGGTTACATTGCTGTAGATATGATCTGATTAGAAGGCAAAAGTTTAACTATGACTTGAACTTTACTGTTTTGGCTGATCATTTTGGCATTTTATTTGGTATGTTGATTGCTATTCTACGATTGTACGTTTTGAATTCGAAGTATCCCAAAACTCCTAGAGGGAGCTATCACATATTCCAGAGATGTCTCAAAGAATGAATTACATACTAGTTACTTTGCTGCAGTCTTTTGCTTATTGCATTTGACCACACTATGTCATGTTTTTTGGTCTTCTGAGTTTCCCGTTATTTTCTAATATGTGCAGTATTTTATTTGTCTACATTAAATTTCATCTGTTGTTTGCAAATGAGTGAAATGATTTGACTTTGTATATCAACAGACTAGCAATAAAACACAGGAAAACCAAAGAACTTTTCAACAGTTTTATAGGTACATAGTTTATTCTACGGCCACACTCCAGTACATTTTGTTTGTACTAATTATCTCATTGTTTACTATGGTAAATAACAAAAGAGGTTATTTGAGTTCTCTCAGACTATTGTGTTGATCATATAATCCCTTGTCAAAGTTATGATTTCTTAAAAAAAAAGTAGAGTTTATGATATTAACTCGATTTTCAACATTTT